ACATGTACGTGCACAAACATGCCATTATTACTTTTAAAAAGTCATATATGTTGAATAAGTTGTCAGCTAACCTCTCACTCACATCCCTTGGGGATAGTTCATTCTCAAAGTCTGAATAGGACAGCTGGCACATGTTGATGAGTGAATCTCACAAAAACATATTAATTTCATCCCAAAATTTTAGGACCAAGATTTACAAAGGACCATTTAGGATAGAGATTTGATTTGAATTTATTTTTGCAATGGGACAATATTTTCATTATAATTAAACAGATTTTAATCTAAAATTCTCATTACTGTGTTGGGGGGAAAAAAACCCTCTTTATTATTGCCATAATACAAAAATATATAGTACAGTATAGTACAAAAATATATAGTATTTATTGTACCTCATTTTATTTTTGAGCTTTTTCCCTATTAGATTCTTACCAGTACAATACAGTATTTTTAAAACTGTATTATGGTAAATAAATATTGTAATACAATGCTTTTTATAATGTATATCAGCATAAACTACAGAAAGTACATCATACCATATCATACAAATATCATACAATTTAATATATAATTATTATTAAATATTATTCTCTAAACATTAAATGTTATATAAATATAATATAAAAATGTTTTTAAAATTTACGGTAAAGAGAACTGAGAAGAAAATTTATTTAATTATTATGAAAATAAATGTCACAAAAGATCCTAAACATATCCTAGAACAGGCTTAATTTGATCAAAACAATCTGATAAAATTGTATTATATTTATTTAGGATTTTTTTTGGTCACCTGGATGTGTTCTTCACAAGTTTTGTACGATTCACCAGCATCAGCACCAGAAGAGACAAACTTTCAAAATGGCATGCAAAGAAATGACAGATGGATCTGTACCTGAGGCTTGCGTTGGCCTGCTGGTTCACCTGTGTGGTGCTGTTGGACCGTCGCAGATTCTTAATTGCTCGTGAGCCTCCCAATCCAGCATCAGTCTGCCAACAACAGAAAGCGCAAAACAGTTATAATACTAGGCCTGCTGAAGACTAAAAACAGGTTTGAAATGGAGCAACTCTCACTTGCAGTTCTGACATTTGGTTAAGAGATAACCAATGCTATTTGATGTTACTGGTGTCCAAACTGCACAATAAATGGCATATTTTATTGATTTCTGTCTGTTCTTAAACCAAGTTATTGTATGGCTTCAGACAACTTGAAATGTAATGCTTCAAAAACTACATTGTTTTGTGTTCCACAAAAAATAATGACAGAATTTTATTTTCTTTAAACAAAGAAAGAATGGAGTTAGTATAATGACAGTGAAATATCCTGATTTGCATTTGTCTAAATCTTAAAGGGGTCATATGATGCTTTTTTAAAGATCATTATTTTGTGTATTTGGTGTAACAGAATATGTTGACATGCTTTAATGTTCAAAAAAAACATTATTTTTCAAATACTGTACATTATTGTAGGTCCTCTATGCCCCGCCTCTCTCAAACGCTTCGTTTTTTACAAAGTCCCTCCTTCCGACAAGCGCAGTCTGCTCTGATTGGCCAGCTGACCCAGTGCATTGTGATTGGCCGAACACCGCAAGCACTCGTCGGAAATGTAACGCCCCTTACCATAATCGCGAGTTTCAGCTTCAAAATAAATGTAAAGACAGAGCACGAAAGGGGAACGGAGTCGCGTGACAGACACAGTGATGAAGCTGGTATGTGTTT